AATTTCGAGGGAGGACAGTTTTGGTTTTGCGAAATCATAGTGTGTAACATTCGTATTGAACCCCCCTAACCCCTAGAAATTTCTGTCAAATTTAGATATGATGGTCGAGTTTTAGTCTAAATTTAGTAATGATGATCAAAAACTAGTATAAATTTAGCAATGATCATAACGTTCAAATTTCTCATGAGCATAGTAAAGTACATGTTTTAAAAAAGAATAGAACTCTATAACAAAAAATTTTTTTGAGAAAATATTTCTATTACATTAAAACTAAAGACACATTCTATCAACTAATAGAGCTATTTTTTTAAAAGGTAGGACAGAAAATGACTTCTATACTTTTAAAATTTTAGGATGTCTTTAGACCAAGCCAACTATATCATGTTACGCATATCGTGCCAATTCAGTCTTCATGGAACCGGAAAATTTATTTTATATGACCGCCAAACCAAGCTCCTGATCTTATTAACGCGAATCTCGAAAGTTGATTTGTGGATTTTTTCTGTTTAGTTATAACAGATGCATGGGACCAGTCAAAAATCTGCTACGACAAAAACTCTCCAGATAGGCCTGCGGATTGTATTTCAGTTAATTTATAACCTCTGGTAAAAAAAATTTTTTTAATGTTAAATTGCATCGAAGAGCCTTTTCGATCTATAAAATCAAGACCTTTTCGGTATCAGTAAATGGAGTAACATATGATCTTTTTAATCTTTAATTTTGCTTGATAAGATGAATCAATCTATACATTTAACAGAATCTTTTAATATGTCACTAACTTGGCTTGTACTAATTCCATAAAGTCAATATCTCTTGGTTCAGGTTTGCCTTTTTTCGATATACATAATTCGCGTTTTTTTGTTCTGAAGTAATATGCATCCGTTTTTTGGATGAAGATGATTATTGTTGAGATATTTTAATAAAGATTTTTTTTGTAATTTTCAATTATATAGGATTATTTAAAAGTTTAATAATAAAATTTCATCTGAATTTATACATTTAGAAGAAATTGTTTGATTTAGAAATTTGATTTGATTAAAAATCCGTTTGTTTATTGTGGATGTAAAAAACAACGGTTTATTATTATTCGTTACTTGGTAATTTGAATTTAATCTAGCAATTTGTAATGTGCATGTATACAAACTTGAATGTCACGTGAATACGTTGTGGTGAGATTAATGATAGTAATATATAGTAATAGTAATAGACAGAAAAATATCTGCCAAAAATTCATTGTCGTTGTGACATGAATTCACTAATATTAATAAAATCCATTAATATAAATATTAAGACAAAATACATTTAATTATAATAATAATTAATAAAAGAAGGGAACTACATCTAAACCAGTTATAGCAAAAATTTATTGTGGCTATGGCAAGGTTTTATTGACTGTATTGGTAGAAATGTGTTAGCGAATAGCCCTATGGTGACATTTTTCGGTTCGAGCTTCCTTTATAATTAATGCGATTCACTATTAACCGGAATTGTAGTGTCGCAATCACCTTCACTCTTTTAAAGTACTTTCAAATCGTAATGTTTGCAGTCATATTCAATAATTTTCCCGTCCTACTTTAATGATACACGCTAAATCATTAGAAAATTAATCGAACTGAAAAGAGAAATTACAAGATTCAAAATTTAGTAATTAGCCGAAATTATGGCTTTACTGGATGGTTGTATAAGATTTACTCTTAAATATATAAAATTAGTTATTGCATGCAATGAAATAACTAAAAAATCGTAGAATAAATCTTTCATGCCATAACTTTTTAATTATTAATGTCTACAATCCTATAAATTTACCGACAGATTTCATTATGAACGGCTTTATAAAAAAATTAAGTTACAATATTGTCTAATGAGACTATTCCCTCTTAGAAATATAAAAAACCTTCCAAAAGGAACAATGTACAATTAAGCTGCAAGCATATCACATTATCAAATTCATTCCCTTCTTTATGAGCTTTATTTGTTCTTTTACATAAATACCAATTCCTTAATTATAATTTTTATGATCTTCTTTTGTTATTATATTATTCTATTATTACTATCGCCTTTTATTATGAAATGAAAAAAATGAGGTCACTTTCAACAATTTTGCAATTAACAATTGATAATTTTGATACAATCAGTCCCAGATATATATTGAATCCAACGATCCAACTATGAGTTATCATATCTTTTACGCTTTCCAGGATTAAATTTGAACAAATTATATCATAAAAACAGGATAAAATTCCATGATTCTGTTGCAACAAATATTTCCAAAATCATACAAAATTTTCTTTGTTTAAAATCTGAAGTAATGATGGTTAACTATCATCTTAATGTTCATGTAAATTTATTTCTTGAACAAAAACCACCAGTTCTATACGCAGACTATATAATGTAAGAAAAAAATAGTCGAATCAGAATTAAGAAATTACATTGGAATACATTGGCGTACGGAATCTATTAAGGTCGAAAACTTGTCAACATGTGCAAACGATTTAATCAGACTAATAACAAAATTTAAAAATAAATATGATACTAAGAGTGTTTATTTGGCTACATGCTACCCTTTGTATCCAAGATATGAATTTCGGTCAACAACCTTTAGAGACTTGATAAATTTTCATCGTGATGCAGTGAAAAAATTGTTAAATTCAGGACACAAGGCAGATGATTATTTATCAATGAATATACTTAAAGATATGAGAAACGATCCCAAGACTCAAAGATGAATTTGAAGGTCCTGATATTATTAGAATCATAGATAAATTGATGTGTATGAATTTAACTGTTTTGATATATGGTGCTAGAAACTCCAGTTTCACCGCAAGAATTATCGATGAAAGAATAAACGCCCATAATAATGAGTTGAATTTTTGGTTTTAACTGGTACTAAAATCGAATAGATTATGTAATAATTTTAGAATTTTAAAATGATGATCATTTTTATCAATTGATTCAAAAAAAAAGTAATAATGACAAAGCTGATTGTAGTGGCAATTATTGACGATTTACAACAAGGTAAAGGGATTGTTTTTTTTTCTTTATGCTAACTTTAGAAACTTACCAATTAAATTAATAATAACTTTGTCAGAATATACTAGATCATCAAAATTATGTGTTTGGTTTCCAAGAACATGGTGTTTAAAAAACTTCATCAAACCAAATCAGATAATATCAATATCTTTGATCTCTCCAAAAAATGTTAACGACAATAATTCAATAAATAAAAAATGTTATCATTATGCATCAGTCAAATTTTATTCAAAACGTTCAGAATTATTTAAATCAAATAATTTATTTCCTAATCAATTAAAATTCCATCTACCCACGACAACAATCGCTTCTACTTCTACTATCGATAATTTATCACAATTGATGAATAATTTGAATATAAGTTCTTCTTCTTCTGCTCCATTGGATGTAAATTCTAAAATAATGGAAAAAGAGGGTGAAACTGAAATTGTTATTTCAAGATCTTTAGCTTGTAATTTAGGTGTTTGTTCAGTTCAAGATAAAATTGATAATATAAAATTTCCAATTAGTTTTATCTTTGAAAAAAAGGTAACTATAAACATATATTTATAATTAGAAAAAACTTTTTTTTAATTAATAGAGTTTATTTATCTGTTATTAGATAGACAATATTCCAATTGCAACAGAAGTGATTTTATCTAAACTATCATCACCACCATCAACGCTGCCGTTAGGAACTCGATTTAAACGGATAAACTATTATTTTAATCAAGAGATTTTCAAGAGAGCAAATCTTGGGTCAATTGTATCACGTGATTCGATTATTTATCAAAATGGATGTAATGGAATACAACTTTATAAAGTATCAAGAGTGAATTCTTCTTTTATTTTGACTGATCCAGCTGATTCTGTTGCAAGAATTGCAGAATCAACCAAATTAGAAATTAATGTAAATAATAATAATAATGTCGACGTTGATGATTTTAGATTATTGTTGAATGGTTTCCCGGATAAATCAAAATGGGTCAAAGATATTGTTAATGAAATTGGCGGCTTAGATGATGTGGTCACAAGCATTATTGATCAATTATATACATTTGTGATTACTGCAATCAGTGCTAACAATCAGGGTTCAAAAAAAAATGTTTTCAAGAGGAGTAAAGGAATTTTGTTAATAGGAAAACCTGGCACAGGAAAAACATCATTAGCCTTACGTATTGCGGGTAGGAAATGATTTTTTCAGAATTAATCAATTGGTTTTATTTTTAAAATTCTTATTTTTTTTTAAAAAAAAAGAAACTTCTAGATTGCCATATCTGATAATTAATTGTCCTGAAATATTTAAATCTGGTAACTAACTGGTTGGTTTGTTGGTTATATAATAGATATTTTTATCGTCAATTACATATTCATTCTATAAATTAATTTATCTATTTAATTGAAATTTGTCTTAATTAAAAAAAAAAGACGAAGGCATAGTAGAAAATAGGTTATATACAATGTTTGAATCAATGATGACGATAAATCCAGTTTCTATTATTATAATGGATGAAATAGATATAATATCTGATAACTCTGCTATTGTCAATTCAGGTGATTAATAATATTATTATTTTTTTGAATTCCTCCAAGGATTATTTATTGTTTTATTAATTTGTTTAAAAAAAAAACAGGTGTTGAAATGAAATTATTTTCAGTTCTTATAAAAATTATTGATTCAATTAATGAAGATAATTATTGTGATGGACTTGAAAAAAAAGGACAAATATTTGTGATAGGTTAATAATGGCTGTGGTAAAGAAGCTGGATGTTTTTCATGATAATAGCAGCAATAATAATTAATGTTTTTATTGTTTTTATTAGGCACAACAAATAGATTTCATGCCGTTAGTAATAAAATTTACCGTTCTGGTCGATTAGATCGTATTTATGAGTTAAATATAAAAACATCTCACCAAAGATATAAAATATTGGAAATAATTACAAAAAGTGAGTATTATTTTTATAAATACAAAAAAAAATCGCGTGGAAAACGTAAAATGGAATAATTTATTAATAAAAAATTGCATTCATTAGAAATTCCATTTGAAAAAGGGAAAAAAAATTTAATTTTAGAAAAAATTAGTAAAACTACCCATGGGTTTGTTGCAGCAGATTTACAATATTTGTGTAAACAAGTTTTAATGAAATCTGTTAGTATTTCTAATATTATTAATATATGTGTTATATTTTATACTTGTTATCAAATAATAATTATTGTTTTTAAAGATTCTTTCAGGTGCAAAATTTTCAGTCGATTTGAATGATTTTTATGAATCCTTAAATATAGTCAAACCTTCAAATTTGAATGAATTCCAGACAAAGGTAAATATAAATAACGAGCGTTATAATAATAATGACAGTACTCATTATATTTATTTTTATAAGATTTTGGATGTTAAATTTGCTGATATTTTTGGAATAGATGATATTATAGAAGAAATAAAAGCAAGTTATTTTTTTTATCACTTTACTTTTTTTGACTAAACTAATTCAATAATGATAAACTTATTATTACTATATTTAGTTATCAATTATAGAACCATTTAATGATCCTAATAATGAATTCTTTGATTTTGGTATTTCAGCACCAAATGGGGTTTTAATTTATGGTCCACCTGGAGTAGGCAAAACTATGTTATGTTGCGCGATAGCATCTGAAATTGAAATAAATTTTATATTAATAGAGGTAATAAATTTACAAATCAGTTTTTTTTTCATTAATCTTGATTTTTCTTTTGCTCATAAAATTCTATAATTCAATAATTATATACATATATATTGATTAGAGTTCACAAATAATATCTAAATTAGTTGGCGAATCTGAAAAAAATATTTCAAAAATATTTTCATATGCAAAATCCAATTCACCTTGCATTCTATTTATTGATCAAGTAATAACAATAATATTCTTATTTTAAAAAATTCTTTTTTATTTTAGAGAATAAATAATTTTATTATTGATTTTTTTAGTTTGATATATTGGCACAATCCCGTGGAATAAATTTTACCACTGAAAATACATCCGAAAGGATCGTGACAAGTTTTTTAACAGGTAAACAAAAAAATATATTTATACGTTTGTTTATTTAACCAGGAAAAAACCTATTTATTTATTATTTGCTTTTCCTATTTAGAAATGGATGGATTTTTCACTAATAAAGCTGAAGACAAGTACAAAGTATTAGTAATTGCAGGTAATGAAAAAAAACCACCCCATTGTTGACTATTTAATTTTAGATTTTCTCATCTCATCCTTTCCTCCTTAAAAAAGCTACAAATCGACCTGAAGTTTTAGATTTGGCTATTTTAAGACCTGGGAGATTAGATCAACATATTTATATTCCGCCCCCCAATAACAAGGTTCTATTTAATTATAACTGTGTGAAATTTAAAATTTTAAATTCCATTATGATATTAATCATATATATATACATGTATTTAATAAACACATATATATATAGCAACGTTATTCAATATTATCAAATAAAATTTATAAAATGTCAACTAATTTAACAAAAGAACAAATTGAAACAATGTCACAAGTAACTGAGGGGTTTTCGGGTAATAACAGTAAATGTTTGTTAAAGTCGAATGAACATCGTTGTATGAACATAAATAAATTTCGTTATAACGAACATTTTATTTTACCCTGCAAAATTTTTGTGATCGATATGCTATTACTAAATTTATCATTTATTAAATTGCCTTTTTGTTATTTAAAAAATTCACTTTTTTAATTTTATTTATTATAGGCGCAGATCTGGATAATTTATGCCGTGAAGCAGCATTAATTTGTCTTAGAAAAAATATTAACAACGATGTGGTAATTTATTAATAATCTATTATGGAAATATATACTTAATATTTACTAACCATTTAAAATATTTATTAATGGCTACATAAGGTTACATTCGATTGTTTTGAAGAGGCGTTAAAATTTTCTGATCCGTCATTACTTAATTATCAACCCATGCGCCCATTCGCATGAAAATTTCATCACTCCCATCGCCTCCAATCATCGTCGATCATAATTTTACTTAATGATGACGGTGAAATGATGTAACAAAATTATTTTCACGAGATAATCGTTTATATAATCAGATAAGCTTTGAAATAATAAAAAATTGTGAAGTAATGACTAAATAATGATGTAATTTTTTTTAAATCGAATATAAAAATTTTCCTATAAATACACAGGGAAAAAGATATTATTTTTTTCATTAACTCGAACTCAATATTCAATTCAAATCAAAAAAAAAAAATATCAATACAAAATTTTAATAAATTCAAATTTAACACTTCACTTTTAATAATAAATAATCAAACATGAGTGATAACAATACCGAACAAACCAAAACTGGTTCCACCGCCAAATATTATGCTGGTGCTGCTGAAGAGAACCTTGGAAAATTAGTCGGTAGCGATAAAATGAAACTTGAAGGCGAATCTAAAAAATTAGAAGGCCAAAGTGAATATGAAGGAGCTAAAAATCAAGGTTATGTAGAAGGTAAATATATATTTAATTTGTTACATAAATTGGTTGCTTTTTTATAATCGATCGATTTAAAATTTTTAATTTTAATTTATTCCAGGTACCACAGATAAAGTCACTGGTACAGTCAAAGAAACAGCTGGCAACGTCGTCAACGACGATCAAATGAAGGCCGAAGGAAATGTAAAAAAGAACAAGGGAGACACACAACGTGAAATCAATAAATAAACAAAATATTGTTTTTTTTTTAATAATTAGTTTAATTTCAAAAATTTTTTTTTATTATTTTGAAAAATAATTAATAAATATTAAATCTCGAATCTAAATATTTGTGTAAATTCCAAATGATTTTTTCTTTGCCATAATAATTGAATCTTTACCTTGTGCTGTAAAATTTGAAATTTTTAAATTCACAATCAAAGTGCAATATGCGAATGTAACCAAATTTGGTAATCATTTGCAAAAAATCTGCCGCTAAATTCCAAAAATTGGTTAATGCTCGCATGTTTCGTGAATTTTATACTAATACTATTTACTATAGAAAATTTGATTAATTATAATTTTTATTGTTATGGAATGAATTATTATTTAAAGTATACGGAAATTCGCAATTTTCCTTATCATAAAAAAAAAACATCAAATTAACTGAAATTACGTATATCTGATTATGATATATAGTTATACGGAAATTCGCAATTTTTCCGTATCATGAGAAAACGTACCAAATTAACTGAAATTATTACCATAACTCAATTAATATCTGGTTGTTTTGGATAAAAACAACCACCATTCCGAAATGTATAATAAAAAATACAATCTTCGCCACATATTTATTCACCAACTCCAAGTTATCATCCGATCAAGCATGAAAAATAATCTTGATACAGTGTATAATGTAATAAGCTATCGAATTCTACAAGTGAAACTTTCCTAGAAAGCTAATCAGATTATCTAAGCCATACTACATATTAAATATATGAAATAAATTTTGAGTAAAAAAAAATGCTATCAATGTTATGTATAAAATAATAATAAATGTCTATTTCGAAGAAAGTTAAATAGCTGTTTTCCACTTTTTCTGACTCCTAGAAATCTCTCATCGAATATCTAAGCCATACTACATATTAAGTATATAAAAGGAACTTCGAGTAAAAAAAAGTTATCAACTATTTAATAATTATATAGGCGAAGTAAGTGTTAGTCAAGATCTATGAAGCTTTCAAAACGAATGTTTATTCAATAATTATATAAGCGGGTTTGATCAAAGTAAGTGTTAAAGTCGAGATCTATGAAGCCGTTTGTAAAATATATTTGATGGACATTTTATTATTATCAATTATTCAATAATAATATAGGAAGGTTTGATTGAAGCAAGTATTAATCAATATCTATGAAACTTGCAAAACGAATGTTTATCAATTATTCAATAATTGTATAGGCAGGTTTGATCAAAATAAGTGTTAAAGACAATTTATACATTTTATTTATTATTTTTACACATTACATGCATTATACGCGGAACCAAAATCATACTATTATTAAAACCTTTTTAATGTTAGTACTAATATGTTACAAATTCCGTACCTTATATGCAGAATTAAAACGTACCTTTTCATATTCATATTCAGTGTGTTGCAAATCCCATACCTTATATGCAGAATCAAAAACGTACCTTTTCATGTTAATATTCATATTCAGTGTGTTGCGAATTCTGTACCTATTCCGTACCTTATGTGCTGAACCAAAACGTACCTTTTTAGCATTATTATTATAATTTTCCTAATTCCGTACATTCTCCGTATTAGTATACATCCATAAATTGCATTACTTCTCAAAGCTTAGATTAAATACGTCCATTCCGTATCTAAAAACTTATTCCATATCAAAATATACGGAAATTCTTATACATTCTATATGTTTATTTTCTATAGGGATGTCTTTAATAAAACAAACATGACTTAGCTATTTAGTCATTTCCTTGTATGTGAATGTCTCCATTCATCAATATTCATGATGGTCATGATTATTATTCAATACATTTGATATCATCATTGACATAACAAACAATTACATCACCCAAGTAGTGATAATACCAAGGCCATGCAGAGATGAAACTCTTAGCAACGTTAATAATAATATTATTATTACGATTTCGCAAAGCAAAATACCAATCATTCGTTGTTGATAAGAATCTTATAATTACCCAGCAAGATCTGCTCCGCGTTTCGATTCAATTAAAATATTTATAAACTAAAATAAAAATATCAATACAAATAAAAAAAGTACCTCTGGTTAGTTATTAACACGTTTTCTTTAGGAGACCCAAACCAAACCAAACAACAACACCCACATTTTGTCACCTTGGACTCTATCAAAAAATAAATTGTTTTTCCAAAAAAAAACCAATAGGATAAATAATTAATGTGTATATACACGTCGATCAAATCACAAACTTTTTTTTTTTTTGTAAAAAATGTCATCAAAAAACACTAAAAGAAGACAATCAAAAAATAAAAGAGAAGCAAAAGAGTAAGCGTTTTAAGGGTGGTGATGTGGTCGTCACTTATCATTACTCTAGTTTATATATAAAGATTGATGGTTACTACTCTAGTTGGATAAGAAATATTCAATTCAAAAAAATCGTGATCGTGATCTTTCTCAAGAAAGAAATTAGGGAGTTGAGTTGATTCTATCATAAGAACATGCTATGGCAAATCTTCTATTGCTTTAGAATATGGTGGTTCTGAGGTAGCAAAGAACTATGAAGGAAAGAAATCTACAAAATGGCTCTTTGAAGCTGATTTAAAATTGCCAAAGGTTCTCAAAGACATGCTTTTGCTATTAAACAGTCATATTTCTGATATGAAAGAAAGAAGGAAACTCATAACTATTGGCTACATCCATGGGGGTCTTCAACTTATGTTTATGACTTTAGATAATCCTGCTGGATATGTTTTCCGTCTTGTAAAAAGTTCATTATACAATATTCCTGTTTCTTTCCAAAATTTTACAGAAGCACTGGAGTTAATTGCTGCTGTATGGACAATGAAGGTGAATATTTTATTACATTTATTATAGCTAATGATTTTTCAATCTTTGAAACTTACAGATTGCCCTTTCAGTTGAAAAAATATGAAAAACACATCAGATGAAACATATTAAATGAGATAAAATAAAGGATCACAATAATAAGCTGTAAGAAAAATTATATATATATATATATTCATTTATTAATAACTCTATTTGTTAAAAACATAATTTGTTTGTTTATTCATTAACTAACTATTTATTATAGATATAAGAAAATTCAGATTTATTTTCTCAATAATTCATATATATATATATATATACCCAAAAATTATTTTGAGATTTTCTCAAAATTATATTAAATAAATATTTGTGCTCTTTACATCATTTCAAAGTTCTGATTCTCGAGAAAGTTTTTTATTAATAACAAATTTTTTATTTTGCAAATTTTTATTATGAAAAAATTAAAAATAAATTTGACTTTAAAAATTATAAAATGTATGATCAATTTTAACAGATAAAATTTTATGAAGATTCTGAATCATTAATTGATTTGAGAAACAGAAACAATGATGTATTGGGATCATCAATTTTTAGTCAAATATTACCAGCAGACGATGAAAACGATGATAGCAGTGATGAAATAACATGTTACTTGGCTACCAAAGTTAAAAATAATATAAATCCATTAGATTGGTGGTGAGATAATGAAAAAAGTTTTCCAACATTATCATTGTTGGCAAAAAAATATTTTTGTGTTCCTGCTACCTCAACTCATCAGGACGGCTGTTCAGTGATGTTGGGAATTGTATAACATCAAAAAGAACTAATTTGAGACGAGATCATGTTGGGAAAATGATGTTTTTGAAAAGAAACATGAAATTTATAATTATTTGTATATTTTTTAAAAAATAATAATCAAATTTTATCAATTAAATAATATATTTTAGTTGAAACATTTACAATATTTTTAGTTATTTGAAATACTTGTGGTTATTTGAAATTCCATCCATTACCGAAAATCATCTGATGTGTTTCGAATATTCATAATTCTTTTTGGATATTTGATTATTTGAAAAGGGGGGTTAATGTTCAAATACACAGTCAGGATGTTTGTATTGTCTATTATATGAGGTTATATATGCTCTACGTTGTAAGGCGTCATGAATAGGACCTAGGTAACCACCAATTGGAAGTTGATTTATTACCGATTTTTTCTTTTTTTTTTTTTTTTTTGATATTTTCTTTATTATCTTCGTTTAATGGTCCACTAAGAATCAAATATCAAGGTTAAGGTTTTAATTTACATAAACCATTCTTTTTAAATAACTAGAGTGACGACGAGTAGTGACAACCACCACTACCATCCTTATGATAAACACTTACTCTTTCACTTCTGTAGCATCATTCTTTTTTCTTTTTTTATTGTTAATACATTGTCGTGCAGGGCTGGAAATAGTACTTTAAAAATTTTTAACTTCCGGAAAAAAAAAGAGTTGCCGGATATTTTTCCTTTTTTATTTTAAGATTTCCAAAAAAATTTATACTACATATATGTGTGTCACTACAATATTTTAGAAATTTGTATCTTTTGAATTTTCAGAAATCTTATTTCACTGTTATTAAATTATTAAATTTAAAAATACTGTATATACTCTTAAATATGAATTTATGTGTATTTATTTTCCCTTATTCAAAAAAATAAATTATAAATAAATAGTATAGAATAAGAAGAATTAGATAATTTGACTACTTGAAGCATTTATAGATGAAACAAATATTGATGAATCAGATATAGAAGGTTCAGATGATTTGACAATTCAAGGCTCAGATGATGATGATACTTCAAAAAAATCAATAAAAAAATGTGAATTAAGTGAAACCCATATTAAAATGTCAAATAAAAAGTGCATTTTAAAAATCAGGAAGAAAGTTTTCATCATGAAGAGAATGTTTTGTACAATTTGTAAAGCACATGAAAAAAAAAACAATTTGCAGCAAATAATATAATTAATTTTGCATTTTGCAATTATTAATTTGCTAATATTATAATGTTATTATCTAGGATCAAAGAATGTTTCAAAATCTACTGCTCTAGCAACTCGTGCACTTTCAAACCAACATAATAATTCTTTGCTTCTAGAAAAGACAAGAATAACCATGCAAGATTCTTCCAAAAAAGCCACTAATAATGGTAACAAACATATAATTAATATAATGAAAATGATTTACTGGATGGCAAAAGAAAATATTCCAATTTCCGAACTTCCAAGTCTTATTCATATCTTAAAACTTATAGAAATAGTGCACTCGATTCCATTTTCTAGTGTAGATTGCGAAAGAGGTTTTAGTAAACAGAATATTATCAAAACAGATTATGTAATGCAATGGAAAATGACATATTGCACTTATTAATGATGGTTGGTTTAGAAGGTACTGATTTATTTTGTTATGATTTTAGTGATGCTCTTAGTAAATTTTTTCAAAGTAAAAACAGAAGAATAAAATAAATTCTTAAATTTGAAAAAAATTTTAGTACCCAAAAAATTTCCCTTTTTTAAATTTTTCTTAACATTCAAGGAGGAATTTCAGACCCTATTTCCAGCCCTGTTGTCGTGGCGTACAACATTAATGGATTTTTTTTTGTTGACGCGAACCGATTTTTTTTTTGGAAAACAATTTATTTTTTGACAGACAAAACGTGGCTCTCCTAAAGAAGAAGTGTTAATAACTAACCAGAGGTACTATTTTTTATTTGTATTGATATTTTTATTTTAGTTTATAAATATTTTAATTGGAAATCAAAACGCGGAGCAGATCTTGCTGGATAATTATAAGATTCTTATCAAGATAATAAACAAATGAACGATTGGTGTTTTGCTTTTCGTAATCGTTATCAATAATAACATTAATATTGTTATAACTAATTACAAGATATCAAGGCAGCATGACTGACTGTTGCAGAAGAAACAATTCAAGCATGCGATGTTTGATTATCGGGAATTGGCAGGCATTAAAGCACTCACGCTACTTTGAACACTTTACAGTCATTCACATCTTCCTCGTATACACAAGGCTAATCTTGACCTGGCGACCCGAAGATATGATGATGCAACTGAATTCCAGAAGGCGCGTGGATCTGGAGTTTACCAAGACTGCACCAATCGTCAATGACGTTTTCATAATCTTCCCTCACAGCACCCAGACCAGAGAAGGCTGCTGGCATGTTGGATTAAAAGTTGCCCGCAACGATCCTACCTCTAGGGCAAGGATGAATCTGTGACCAAGTTGCAAATCTGCAGCAATGTTGTGATATTAGGTGCACATAAACATCAAAGCAACGAGAATCTGCAACTCGTTTCAAGTGTAGGAGGTTACAATTCAGAGTGGGTTTGGCACTGATGTTAAGAGGAAAGTTGTAAAATAGTATTTGTTTTGTATAATTATTTTCCTAAATTCTCTGTTTCTTTGATACTAACCAATTTATAATGTTGGGTAGGGGACTGAATAGGTTTTTGCCCGATCAATCCCCTGTCCTATAGATTAAAATTATTGCATGTTTATATACAACTTTGTCAGCAATATGGCCATAAAATTATTATCGTCCACTTAAAAAAAAAAAAATCTCCGTTTTTCATATACAAGCGATTTTCAACCATAATAAAATTTTAGAGCCAGACTAGGACTTTTAACAACAATTAAAAGAAAAGGCTAGCTCAAATATTGGTTATTCTACGCTGGTCAGAAGTATTTCTTTTCTTCACACTTATTCTAAGATTATCGCTCAACTAGTATGCAGACTAAAGCAAATTCGGCAGCAACAGTTGTGCCAAAGTGTTCCCTACAAAGTCGCTTATAACCACTTGGAAGTTTGTATTGGAAAAATTTTGCTCTTAATTATAAGGGACTGATTTATAGTTATTTATAAGGTTATTAATAATAATGAATCCAACAATTTTATTTTCAATGAATAGGAAAATTATATATTAGAGTATATATGGAAAAAAAAATTATTTATTTATAAGGTTATTAATATATAAATTTATAAATTACTAGAAAAAATTTTAAATTGTAAACATGTTCTTTCAGCGTCACAAGACAACCCTTTCGTGTACAATAGTATTTTTTATGATACATTATTATTAATAAATTACTTTTAAAAAAATAAAAAATTTTTTCTACATCTAATGATAATATAAATTACAAAATAAGTATTTACAAGATTTTACATCCTTTAGGATAATTCATCCGGTATAGTTAAATCAATCTGATGGGAGTCTATAAATTTGTTAATGTTATTAGCACGGATGTTGATATAAATTATTGACTTAAATAATTAATGAAATTAATAATTACCATTATAATTGTTAATAATCGTGACTTTTCTAGAATTCACAGGTTCAGGAAGATTGGTGAAATTCAATAATCTACTAGTGTAAATAGCATTTGGATGAATTTTTGTTGTGGTTGTTGATGGATCAAAAGAAATTTTATCCATTTTATCAAATTCTTTTCTGAGAGGCAATAATTCATCAAGCTGTTTTTTAGAATAAAAAAGATGTTTGTCTGAACTGGTTAAATAATATCCAAACGACTTATTCCAAACTTCAATGGTTTTTCTAATTTCTTTTGCAGTCGGACGTTTACTAGGATCAGCATCCATGCATCTATATGCTAATTCTATAAAAAATTTTGGAGTATTTCTTGAAAATTCAGGTCTTGTTCCGCTACATATTCTCATTGCAAGGCTTACATCATGTGGAATATCGCTAAATGGCTGTTTGCCAGTTGATAATACTGACATTAATACCCCAAAACTATAAATATCTGATGCCATTGTATATTGATTACCTCTTAATACTTCTGGTGCCACATATGGCAATACTCCATGTACAGTATTGTTATCTGTTGATGAATATGAAGATGAAGATGAAGTTGAGGATGAGGATGAGGATGAGGATGAAGATGAAGATGACGAAGTCGATAAAGATGGTGATGTCAGATTAGCTGGAATTGACAACCCTAAATCCGCAATATATGCGCAATTGTTCCCATTATGTTTTTCATGAAGTATATTGCCACAGTGAAGATCACAATGAATAACTGTCTGTTGATGAATATTTCTCAAACCAACAATAATGTTATAAAGAGTTGTAATTTTATCCTTCCATTTTAAATTTTTAAATTCTTTTGTTAAATAATTAAGAAGACTTCCATCTTCCATATATTGCATTACAAACATATATTCTTTTGTGATGGGATCTTGTGCTAATCCATAAATTGTAATTATGTTTAACTTATTATAATTAAATGTAACGTAATTCTTGAGCTGACAAAATAAAATAAAATAGAATATAATTATTAATTTACTAGATAGTTATCTTTTTTTTAAAAAAAAAATTTTTTTACCTCGTTTAAAAATTCATCTGAAGGGTTTTGTGAATTATGTAATTTTTTTAATGCTACAATTTTATCTTGATTACATCTTTTTCTGGTTTCATAGTCTATATATTTTTTTCCATTTATCCAAGTAGCTTTGTATATAGTCGCAAAACCACCTTCGCCTATTTTTTCAATATCTTTTAAATCTTCATAATGAACCCATTCAAGGTAATGAGCATTATCGTATTTCATAGCTTCTACCTGTGTGCTTTTAATTAATTCATCAATTACTTCAATACCACTAGTCCATCCTCGAATTAATAATTTTGGATCACATGATCGACACCATGAAAAATACGTGTTATATCTATTGCAAGTTGGGCATGTACCATAACTTGCTTTTCTGCAATACGAGTATTCATCATTCGTAGTTTCTTTCATCTTGAAC